AACATTTGATAATCATGAGGCAGAATAAAATACAAAAGCATCCCTAGGTGGTATCAGAAGTGAATAGTAAAGGCAGAATCTGAACTCAAAGCATTAACTTCTACCCTTTATAAAATTTACCATCTATAACTCTAAATCTTACCCTAACAATGTCACCGTACTGAAAGCGGTGATGGCTCAACAAAAATTATGTTTAAAATGTGCACATTTGACAGTTTTACCTAAACTATGACCAGCCACAGAGACCCCTCCCTTGAAGTCCGGGTTCCGACCCATGAAGAGCGCATACAGTCGGTTTATCTCCATTCCCACTTTTTCCACAATTCTCTGACAGTAGGTGGGGCTATTGTAAAACAAAATATCTAGCAAGGTTTCATTGGTAAAGTGACGAAACCGTCCAATACTTGGTAAAGTGATTTTCTTAATATTCCTGTTTAGAAAGGAAAAGAAAAAGTATTTTCAGTTAGTATTGACCTTAAACCTGTGGGTTTAAAAAAGCTGCTTAGACTTTGATTCCCAAAAACATGCTGAGTAGAAAAACCCCACAGACTAATTATGAATTGACTCTGTAGACAAAATTATTATAAATCAAGATAAAGCAAAAATGACACTTGGGCCTATAACTGTCCTATGAATTTGGGATTCTCTGGAGAGTTCTATTATATACAATAAGGCATATACAAATATTTTATTTTTATAGAGGAAAGCCTACTCGTCCATTTTTCTTCCAACTGGAAATTGGGATACCTGACAAAAATTGTGGATGAGTAAGAAGGACAATAGAGAACATAGCAAGGAGTAAGAAAGGAGCTACGTGGAATGAAAATGTTTCTGATTTGACAATGGCCATAGAGAAGTTCATACACATCCATGCAGAAAGAAAACACCTCACGGTAGGACCTAACATGGAGAGAATGCTGGCTGTAGGATCAGTTTTATTAAACCATGTGCTCTAAAACATCATGACATTCCCTAAAATCCAGACACGTTATATTAGTCCTGTGTCTCAGCATAAATATTACCTAAACCCGTGGTTCTTAAATGGGAGCATTCAAAAACGAGTGGGGGCATTTTTAGTTGTCCCAGTGCCTGGCGAATGCAGCTGGCATTTAGTGGGCACAGACCAAGGATGCTACACGGTATGCAATGCACACGACAGTCCTGCACAAGAAGGAACTGTCCTGCCGAGAACATTTCCACTGAGAAAAACAATATTCTAAACCATCCCTC